TTAATAAAAAAAAAAAACCCCTGGGGGGGGGCTTTGGGTTAAGGCTTCAGAACCCACCCCAAGTTTGGATCCTAGGAAAAGGGGGGGGTTTTGGGAATTTTGGGGTTGGGTTTGGACTTTTTCCCATTTTGGGGGTTTTCCCCGGGGCATCGGGGGGGGGAAAAGCAAAAAAGGGGGTGGTGGCCCCCCGGGGGGGAGTTCCGCCCCCCAATTTGGGGCCGCCCCAGGGGTTCGGGGCATTTAAAATTCCCCCCCCCCCCCCCCCCGGCGGCCCGCCCGCCCGCCCAAAAGGAGAGCCTCCCCCCCCCCCCCCCTTCAGACACGCTTCTCCTCCTCCACGGCCACTGGAGTGTAGCCGGCGTGGTGCGCGAGCGACGCGCTGATGGAGGGGAGGGGTCTGCTGCTAGAGAGGCCGCGCCGCGCGAGCAGCTTCATGCACTCGTCGAGAGCAACGACAGGCACCGAGACGGCGAGGACGAGCCTGCGCAGATCGCGAAGCGGCAGGGTTGAGAGCAAAACGAGGCTAGATGGGGCCATGCCGAGACGGGCCGGCGCCTCCACTCAGCGAACGAGATGGGTGCGACTCCGAACACGTGGTTGAACGCGGGGACATAGAGGATGGCGAAATGCTGCGCGAACGAGAGCGCGAGCGCGCCGACGAGCCACGGGTTGCGCCACGGCGGGAAGGCGAGCAGGGACTCCTACGCAGCAGCCCACGGAACGGCTGAGGGGCGCGAGCGAGGCCGAGCAAGGTCCGAGCAAGGCTCGAGCGGCAGGCGCGCCTTCTCCGAGAGGGCGTTGAGCGCGTTGAACATCTCGATGGTGACGAGCACCGAAAGCGCGACGGTGCGTGGGCGCAATGAAGTGAAGACCGCGCAATCGACGCCGTCGGAAACGGGCCAGCTGGGACACTCCCCAAAGTGTGTCAGCTGGTGCAGAGTTATCTGGGGACCGCCCTCAAAACCGACGAACCAATATGCGAACCCCGCGACGGTGGCGACGCCGACGTACAGCCCGATGAGAAGGTAGCGAAGAGCGAGCGGCCCATCGATGAATGGCTCCGACAGAGGCCGCGGGGGCTGGCGCATCGCATTCGCATCGGGAGGGTTGAAGGAGAGGGCAGTGGCGGGCAGCCCGTCGGTGACGAGGTTGACCTATTGCTTGTCATGACGTGTCATGGCCATGACACGGGGAACGGTGCAAGCGCCGGGGAAGAGGGCCCAGAGCAGCTGCACGGGCACGAGGGCCTCGGGCATGCCTGTGGTAGCAAGCGGGCTGGGGTCGGAGGGCGGACGGGCAGGGTGTTGCACAGCCACCCTCGCGGCACCGAGCGCCGCAGTGAGGAAAATGCACGCCACCTCGCCGATATTTGACGAGATGAGGTAGCGGATGAAGGCCTTCGTGTTTGAAAAGATGGCGCGCCCCTCCTCCACCGCTGCGACAATGGAAGCGAAATTGTCGTCGGCGAGGACCATATCGGACGCCGTCTTTGCGACTGCAGTGCCTGACCCCATGGCGATGCCGATGTTGGCCTTCTTGAGCGCAGGCGCGTCGTTGACGCCGTCGCCCGTCATCGCGACAACGTAGCCCTGCTGCTGCAGCAGCTCCACCAGCCGCAGCTTGTGCGCGGGCTCGGTGCGCGCAAAGAGACTGCACTCGGCCACCGCCCGCAACTGCGCCTCATAGTCCAGCGCAGCAAACTCCCGCCCCGTCAAGCCGCCGCTCAAACCGCTGGACCCACCGGCACCCTCCTCGCCCGAGCTGCGGCTGCTCGAGCATTCGCCGCCGTCACTGCCGCAACCGCGGCTGCCGCCGCCGGTGGCGAGAGCACTCTCTGCGCCGCCCTGCATCAGCCCAATCTGCCGGCAAAGCGCCTATGACGGACGGCGGGTAGAGAGTGAGGCGCGGAAGAAGGCGTCCCAGCCCGAAGCTGCTGGCCGTGCGACTGCCTCCGCAGTGAGCTTATTATCGCCTGTGACCACCACCACGCGCACCCCCGCAGCTGCGCATTGCGTGATGGCGGCGGCCACCTCCGGCCGTGCGGGGTCATGGATTCCGACCACTCCCACAAAGGTGAGGCCTGCCTCGACCTCCCCAAACCTACAGCCAGACAGGGGTGGCGGGCCTCGGACTAGCGCAACCTCACCGCCCCTCGATCCGGCGCTGCGCCGCTCGGGGTCCGAGAGCGGAAGCGCCTAAGACGTGGAGAACGCGCC